TGATGGGTTGGGAGCTAAGACTTTTTGAGTGCCTTCTATAGAGTCGCTCACCGTATGCCCGGCTTTCACGGCTGTGCAAGAAACCAGAGTCTGCTCTGTACATTGAGTCTGACCGTCATTAATTGGTTCTTCCACGTAAATAGGCTTTCCTACCCGCCTACTTACATCATTCTCTTCCAAAAATGGCCCATTATTAATGGAGAACATCATTATTTTGGAAGCGGTAGTTGTGAAGCACGAATTTAAAACTACAAAATTTATAAAAATTAAAAGGGGTTCTTAATTAATAATATTTAAATAGAGATGTAAACTGTTACCAATTTTTATTTTGTTCCAATAGTTAATTTTCAATTTCTAATTTTTTCAATCGTTGATTTTCAATTTCTAATCTTTTGATTTTACTTCGCAAATTTAAAATATTCTTTACCAGTTTATATTTAGCATAATTATTGGCTATAAGTTGTATTTGTAATATATATATATATAATAAAAATATCAAATAACCTTACAAAAAAGTATTACAATTTTTATCATACAAATTTTTAAACGGAGATTATCCAAATTATTTATATGGCACATGATAGTGAATAATATAGTGATTTTCAAACAAAATATATCCAATAAAAACTTACTTTAAAAATTGCTCTAACTGCTAAGTCACAGAACTGAGCATCATTTTTGCCAACCTGTAACAGGTTATCAGCTTCATTTTATCATCTGAAGATAAATCTTAAATAATGTTTTCATGACCTTCATATAATTAAAAATAAATCATGTAATTGTAAAGTAATTACAGTACAAGGTATTGTGTGCATTCGAATTAAATTTATTATGAATACTGTACTATATATAAATATAAACTCAAATACATATCGATATTATAATTTTTCCATCTATTGAAAACCGGTTAAATACAAGTTTACTGCACTATGAATAGACAATAGTAGTATATATAATATTAAATGTGTATATATTTCAAAAAAATTTATATTTCAAAATGGATTGTTTTAATACTACGCGTTAAACTAGATAAAACCAGACTTAGAACTCTATTATTGAAAAGAATCCAAATGTGAAATTCTTTTGAAAAAAATTTTAATCTTTAAACTATTTTCTTTACAAAAAATGAGTTCTATCAAACGCTTATCGAATGAAACCCTCATAAAAATATTTGAATTTCTAAAAAAGAAAAGGTTCTTATTTTCATGCCTTCTTGTAAACCGTAAATGGTGTAGACTTATTGTTCCAATATTATGGAGATCTTTACGTTTTAATAATAAATGTGTTATCGAAATATGTCTTTTAGAACTGAATGCTGATGAACTAGCACTGTTAGTCCTGTTTAAAATTAACTTTCTAGCAAATTCTCTGATGCCACTATTTAAATATACAAATTTTATTACATCTGTTGACAGTCAGTATTTGAGCCAAGGAGTGTCACATTTTCTTGAAGAATTTGGAGACGATTTTTATCCTGTAGCAGCTGTTAAACGTTCTTTACTTTTATTGTTTTTACAAAAAAAAAAAATTATAAATTTAAACCTTTCAAATAATAACCTTGGTTCTCTTGGAGAAGAAATTGCAAATACTCTTATCAAAAACAACAGTCTAATTCATTTGAATCTTTCAAATAACCAGCTTGGCTCCAATATAGGAAAAGCTTTAGCTAATGCGCTCTGCATAAATACTAAGTTATCTACTTTAGATCTTTACCTTAACCAACTTGATTCTGAAGGCGCGAAAGTATTATCAGATGCTCTTCTTAAAAATAACACTTTAACTTCTTTAGATATCTCAAGGAATGACCTTGATACTTTGGGTAGAATTGCATTAGCAAATACTCTTTGCAAAAACAATATGTTAATCCTTTCCAGTAATCAACTTGGACCCAATGTTGAAAAACCACTAGCAAATACTCTTTGCAACAATAATGCTTTAACTTTTTTATATCTTACAAATATTAATCTTGGTTCTGGAAGGAAAGTAATAGCAAATGCTCTTATCAAAAACAACACTTTAACTTATTTGGATCGTTCATCTAATAAGCTTGACTCTGATATAGGAATCGAGCTGGCAAATGCTCTTTGCAAAAATAATACGTTAACTACTTTAGATATTTACCTAAATCAAATTGGGTTTGAAGGTGGTAAAGCATTAGCAACTGCTATTTGCAAAAATAGTGCTTTGACTTCATTAGATCTTTCATATAATCAACTTGGAGACGATGTGGGAAAAGAACTAGCAGATGCACTTCAAGTGAACACAACTCTAAACGTTCTGAAAGTTGGTGGCAATGGAATTAATTTCTAAATAGAGAAAAAGTTAGAAATAATAAAAAGTGGCGGTTTAGATCTAGATTTTGATTCCGAAAATAATAGTAGCATAACTGTTTGTTGATTGTTGTCGGTTTTTTTTTTTTTTTTATGAATGGTATTACAATTTTCAACTTTTTGTCGAATATGAAATTTTGTTTTGTTAGTTAATAATGAGATTAGTTTGTTTTGTTTTTTTTTGAAAAATAAAGTTCGTGACTTTGTCACATCAATTAAATTCTTTCAGAATGGGTTAGAGTTGTTAAATTTTGCAATTAATGAGATATCCAATATTATCTGATGGATAATCACGTGATTTTCATGCATATCAGTTACTTTTTTGATAGGCCACGTTCTTGATGTATAATACCTCGATAGTGTTGATCCAGGTTGAGATTATAGTTGTTAGACGAAACCATGTAATGCTAAATGTAAAACTAAATAAATTTTTAGGTCTTGGTATTTTATGACAGGTGATGATTATCATCACATGGTTTCGTCTAACAACTATAGTTGAGATATTATTACTTGGGTGAGAACGGGTGAGTCAACCCACAGGTCACCAATTCACGAGAGAAGCGAAGGCTTCTATGAGAGTTTCAGATTGTATACAGTCAGCGAATGAAAATACAAGCAAGGTGAGTTTCTGAAATGAATTTTTTTTTAGCAGCTGTTTTCATAAATTCTGGAACAACTGAAAAAATTGCTGATAACCGATAGCCAAAGTCAGATATATATTGATTTAGACTCGGTAGCTTATCGACTCAATCGTCGACAATTTTTTCAGTTGTTCCAAAACAGCCCATACACCACCTGAATGGGTGATATTTTTTCACTCAAGTGACTTATACCCACCTGACAGGTCAAAATCACTAAGCGATTTTCGGAAGATAGAAAATTTCTAGGTCACTTGGGTGAATAACTAACCTGATTTTCACCTGTAACACATGCCCACAGACGGGGACCTGGGTGGTGATTTTTTGGACAAGTCAAATCACTATCCCTATAATATAACGAAATTCCAATTCTGATATGATTTTCAACTTTGGCAGTACTGCTAATTTTCCACGTTTTTATAATACTTTTTGTATCAATTAAGCTAAAAATGATAAATTTATTATTTATTTTCAGAAGAAAAATTTAAAATGATTGAATTTATTAGTTCAACCATTATCAATTTTTCTAATATTAATATTAATAATAAATTACAAAAGACAAAATGAAAGAACAAATAAAAAGTATGTCTATAATGACAAAATTATCAAGAGTTCCTGACTGAGTAAAATGATAAATATTATTTTTAACACCAAATAAAACTACAAAGTATAAAAATAATTAATACATTATTTGATTCAAATATTTTAAATATTATGAAAAATTAAATATATACCTATTAAACAAAACTATCTTATGTATTTTAATTCAGAATACTGAGCAAAGCCAACAAAATTCAAAAATAAATAAAAGAAGAAAAAAATGCATATGAATCCAAAAAGTGTATATCCCAAAATTTTACGTAAAGATCTTGATTGTGCAAAACGATAGATGCTCGAGTCAAAAAACTTAATGAGTGTTATACATATACCCAATAACCAAATCAAACCAAGGTAATTCAAATCAGAATACCAATCAATATTAACATTATTTAACCAAGAAAAGCTGCCGTAATTAATGAATGAATACCACTTCCATGTTGAAATTACAATTCTTGAAATTAATGCTATATATTTTATTACCTTTTTGTTGGGTAATAAAGTTAACAACGCACCAGGACCAAACATAAAGAAATTAATTCTGTAGATATTTGCCACGTCTTCATGGCTGTAAAATATAAAAAAAAACATTAACTATATGAAGCAGATCAAAAATAATAGAAGAAATAGAATTTATATAGAATTTACAGTAACAAAGGTCTAATTGATAATCCAAAGATTCCAGATACCTAAATACAAAAAAATACGAATTTAGCTAAAAAAAAAAAAAAATTAAAAAATGACAGTATTATAAATTTAAAATTAAACATACACTAAAAATAACACCTAAGGAAAAAAAAATAACGCTACAAAAACTTGAGTAGACTATGAGAAAATGGTTTTGTATAGCTTTTTCTTGATTTGAAAATCGCATACTCATATTTCTACAAGTTAGAATTTAAATCTGATTAAGTTTCTAATTGTTTTATATGTACTCGGTAAGAATTATTTCATCATATATATATAAAACCGAGAAAAAATGAGTAAACTAAAATATATTAAAGATCATATATATTTTAAAAAGGTGCTTTTAGGCATCTCTCTGGGGAGATACATCTCCTGCAGGGAGATATATATCTCAACCATTCCAACCAATCAAAAACCACAAATATCACGTGACACGATTCCGAAGTACTAGACATATTTGTATTACTCGGACCTTTATTTTACCAATTAACTTCAGACAAAAAAATACTTCGCCTAGTATCATGCTACGTATTTAATTTTTTCACGCACCTGCATGGCTAATTTATTTTAATTTGTCATATTTACATTATACAGTATTTAATTAAATGTCATCATGTAACGATTATAAATTTTATTAAAAAAAAAAATGAAAAAAAATGCGCAACATCAACAAAACACAAAACCAAGAATATTGTCACACCGACGATAACATTAACAACAGCAACTTCACTAATACTTGTTGCCGATTTCACGTCACAAAGTATGCAACGAACATCGACAAACCCCAAAAACCAACGAATATTGTCACACCGACGATAACATCAACAATGGTAACTTCACCAAAACTTGGTGCCGATTCTATGTCACAAAGAACCTAAAAAACCTAAACAAGCCAAAGAAGTGAAAAATCATTTAGCGAACACGGGAATATAACAAAGAAAGAAAAAAAAAAACAAAAGAAAACTACTCACCAAGAGCGCTGATTCCAGCCCGACAAAATCTAAACAAGCCAAAGAAGAAAAAAGAATAGTTAGTAAATATTCAAAAAAAAATAAAGAAAAAAAAAGAAAACTAACTACTCACCAAGAGCTACGTCCGCACAATTCCCAGATCCAATGAAGACAAGACAAGCCCCGTATGAAGAAAAAATGCCTAAAAAATTGAAAAAAGATTAGTAAAGAACTAAAAACATCAAAACCAAATCCACAGTGAAAAAACGCACATAACCACTTATAAGAACGCCAGAAAAGAATGCAAAGCCATTCCACAAAAACGCCGGAGAAACACGTAAGTTCACAAGAATGCCGGAGAAATCCCACAAAAAAGTTGGGATGCACGCAAGACCACCCCACAGGAACATTCTGCAAGACTACCCTACAAGTAACCAGTAACGCAAACGAAATCTAACGGCGGCACCAAACCAATGACAACAACAACACCAGCGATGACAATGACACCAACAACGACACCAGCAACGACAAGACACTAGCGACTACAAGGCACCAGCGACGACAAGACACCAATGACACCAACGGCAAAAAGCGGCAAGCTAAAAAAAAAAAATAAATAACAAGCGAAAAAAAAATTAATAACAAGCGAAAAAAAAAAACAAAATACAGTAATAAAAAAAAAAAACAATGATTATTAATCTTTGATAATCATTGTTTATATAGAGGGGTGCGGGATGAACTGAACTGACCCCTAATCCGGCATCGGTACGCCAGGTGGGAGATGCATCTCTTGCGAGAGATGCCTATAATTTCTCATTTTAAAACTGTAAGTTTTAATTTTATAAACTATACTATTGCAGATCCTATATTTTAAAACCTGTTTTTTAAAGAAGTTAACTACTACCTTTATCTTATTTGTATACTAGTTATCTATTATACTGCTTATATATCGAAAAAATAGACTATATAGTCAGATTAATTCATTGTTCATGTGCCTTTTTACTTATATATTTCCAAATTAAATATTATCGCAGCTGATGCTGAAAACGGCTAATGCTAAAATTTTTTCATATTTTATTATAAAATTATAAAAAATTTTTGGGCCTTTTTTTTACACTTTTTTTTCATAGTTAGGTTAGGGTTAGTAGGGTAGTTTTATTAATAAAAAAGTATATGTGGATTTTAGTAGGTATTATAGATTTAAATAGAGACCCAAATTTCAGCATCAGCCATTTTCAGCATCAGCTGCGACAAATATTAATATAACAATAGTATATTGTAGATCTTTTAACAGTATTATATGTTTTTAATCTTGTTTAAACAAGAATTCATTGAACTGAAATATGATAAATTGACTCGTTTATTATCTCTTATTCTTTTTGTTTATGGCAAGACAGATCGTTCTTTAAATACATAGGAAATAATTTTTTCAGAAAGCATACGTAAAAACAATAGCTCATGTTGCTATTCTTTGGGCATATCATAAAAGCCAAAGTAAGAACGTAACTCTTTTTCTATGTTACACAGTTAGTGAGAACACACTTTAATTGTCTTTTTTCAAATTCTTAAAGAGAATACATTAGTCTTCCCAATGACTGAAAAGCAAGTTCTTGAGAGTACCAGATATAATACATTTATTGAATTTTCATAGCATCAAATATTTGTTAAAATTCATTTTGAATACTTTTCAGATATAATGAAGCAGCTCTGGACAATCTAAATTGATGGTTAGTCATTTTTCCAGATAATCTGGACTTGTTGAAATTTCGCGCTGAAGAATACTGTAAACTCGGCAAGCATAATAAAGCTCTGAATGATCTAAATAAATTGTTAGGCATTTATCCGTACTTGTTGAAATTTTGCGCCGAAGAATACCATAAACTTGGGAAGTATAATAAAGCTCTGGACGATCTAAATAAATTGTTAGGTGTTTATCCAAATAACCTGTACTTGTTGAAATTTCGCGCCGAAGAATACTGTAAACTCGGCAAGCATAATAAAGCTCTAGACGATCTAAATAAATTGTTAGGCGTTTATCCAAATAATCCATACTTGTTGAAATTTTGCACTAAAACTTATCGTAAACTTGGCAAGCATGAAGAAGCTCTGTATGATCTAAATCGATTTTTAGGCATTTATCTGAATGATAAAGTTGTGTTATGATTTTAAAGAGAAGTAATGATCGACATTTCGACCAAACTATTGAAAATGAACCCAAATAATGAAGAAGAGATATTGCATATTCAAGCTCAAGCATATATTAAAATTGAGAAATATGATGAAGCTTTAGTCGATCTGAATAGATTATTAGAAATTAATCGCAAAAATGAAGAGATATTGAGTATTCGAGCTCAAGCATATACTGCGATTGGTGATTATAAAAAAGCTTTCATCGATCTAAATAGTTTATTTGAAATTAATCCCAGTAATAAGAAGGTATTAGAATGTTGTTTTCTTCTGGATGAAGAAAGTTCATATCATAAATTTATGAATTTTTTTGATGCTTGACAAACTATTTAGTTTGTAGTTCATAACCCTGTGTCTTCATTTAAAAATTCACTTAACAGGTACTTTCGATTATACATGTTGACAAAATCCCAAATTACTATTGTTTGAATTTGTCCAAATTAATTTCTCAAAAACTTTATTAATAATTTTGGTTAAACAAATAGTAGATATTTTTATTGTTATAGATAATATATTTGCAAAATATTAAAATAACTTTTTTGATTTAATCTTTTACAAATTGCAATTGTTTTTTTTTTGAATTTGGAAGTATAACTTTGATATCTTCAAGTTTATAGTATAACGTGATTTGAAGGTCCCTCGAGTCTGTAAAGTAACATTTAATTCTCAGAATTTCAAACTCATTCGTTATGATTCTTAACTATCTAATTATTAGAGACTATCTTTATTCTTTATCTTTTGAAAAACTAAAGTAATTCAGTCTTATTATTCTTATTAGAGATACTGCACTATTTAGTTTACAAAATTCGAGAAATATTTAATTGAATCATAAAACAATACAAGAATTAACTTACTATTCAAATATAATATTAAGTTTAATTCAAAATTGTTGAATTTATAACTTTAAATAAATTCAATTAATCCTTAAAACAATTCAATTTATCCAAAGAATCTACTTTAAATAAATTATTTATCTGTTATCTTTCAGCTGAATGGTTTAAATAAATATAAAATTTAATAATAATAAATAAAAACAATAACCATCATTATTCTATTAATAAACTATTTAATTTCACCTCTTTATATTTGTGAGTTTGCAATTAAAATTAATTAATTATACTTAATTAATATAATTAATATAATGTAAACATCATATTTATCAAGCCAACACTGGAAAATAAGTATAAATTATATCCTTTTCTTATCGTCTTTTTTGCTTTACTAAAATAAAATACCAGTATGTAGAAATTAAAACTAGACATATAATAATTTATTGAAAACTATACTTTGTTATAAATTCGGTTAAATTTTTAGAATATATCTATAACAATAAGGTAGCTGCGTGATGTTATGCTGCCACGCTAAAACCAGGAATGTAATTCAATGATATTTGCAATTATACAAGAGTAGATAAGCTCTACCAGAACACCTACATCACATGATAAATCATTCGTCCTAAGTTAGGCTTAGTGTGGGTAAGGTGATAGTTTAGTTTAGACCAATTTTGTTAATTCTAGTAAACAAACGAAGTAATCGCATGATTTCACGTGATGTTATGATTACTAGGTTCATTGTTCTTGTAATGCCTGCTTTTTGACCATGCTTTTTGTCTAATGCAAAATTTAATTGATTTTAAATGAAAAACCGTGATTTACAGTTATCAGCATGTTTTTATATTGTGAAGCTAAACAGTCATCAAAAGTCAAAAGTATCACTCTAGATCAAAAGTTACCGAATGTTTAAGTTGACAAGAATGTAGATTATTAAGTCATGCAATCATTCAAAATTTGTGGACAAAAACACTACGTTCCTGATACGCACATATACGCACACCCCCTATCTATAAAATCACGATTTCAAGATCTCGTTGCACATGTAAAAAAGGAAGTAGATTACTGTACTTTTTAGTATAATGTATACAAAAGTAAGGGCACCAATCAGAATCAAGATTTTGTAGACGAACACAAAACTCGAATGGAACCATACACTCTATTCAACTACATTCCTGGTATTTATATTATTTTTCCTATTGGTCAAATTAAAGAGAGTAAATTACCATATTGGTTAAATAATTAGAAAATTTTCTATTGGCCAGATTTAACTCTTTTCTTTTTAAGAAATTACACTTTACTATCTTATGCAATCAGAGTATTTTTCTTAAGTGTTAATACTATAATATCATTACTTAGAGCCCAATAAGATCACACGATTTTGCAGACCCATGGGACCGCAGAATCATGTAATCACGTATTATATATTCGCCATCAAAATTGTAAATGCATATGATTTTTAATTTTTTTTGCTACTAAAAAAATCAGGGCTGTGTAAAACGCACTATGGTTAGCATAGTAATAAATAGCGAAATACTTGCTTCTAGTGAAGATCTTGAGGCTGTTGATTATTTTAAGTTCATGAAAATTGCTTTTTACAATAATAAAAAAGCATTTTTGCATAGTAAATTCTAAAAATTTCACGATTTAGGCAGCTTCAATTACTTCTGGAGTTGAAATTATTCTTTTTTTTTTCTCTTGGATGCTCGACAATTTTAGCAGTCGTTGAAGTTAAGTTTATAGCTTTAAACCATGTTAGATTCTAATGTGGTTTAGCATTTTTACTTTAATTAGTCCAATATAATAAATAAGAAGTTTCATTTGGCCTACTGCTTATTCAGCTGGAAAATTGTCCTGCCAAGTGATGTGCCGCATACAGTATGAATGTACATATGTACTGTATGCTAAAATTTTTGCCGATCACTTGGTCCAGCCAATTAGATACCAGAAAAGCTAAAATTTTTCAGGTATCATATAAATGACACATTTGGGGCACGGGGCGTGGTTCCAAATCATCGCATAGACACAAGGTGTGATGCTAAATCATCACATATAAATTATTAATTACATCGACAGAATTTCGCTGATCTGCAATCTAGAACATTTTGATTAGCCAATCAAAATTTGGTTATTTTTAATTTTTGACTATTTTTTTAAAAATCTAAACTTAATAAAATAATTTTATTTTAATTCTATACATCTGTAGAATTAAAATAAAATTATTTTATTAAGTTAAACATTGCTAGGATTTTAAAAAAACGGTCAAAAATTAGAAATAAAATTTTGATTGGCTGATCAAAATATTCTAGAATGCAGATCAATATAAATCGATACAGAATTATAAAATTGACCAATCAGATATTCTCCTATCTACTATAAAATTTTAGATGATTTACATTTTGCATGTTTTTGTTATTATTTTTCTACGTTCAAAATCCAATAGATGGGGTTGAGTCAACAGAAACCAAGCAAATCAAAAATTTTTCAAAATTGAGATTTTTTAATAAAATAATAGAATTCAATATGCTGATTATTTTTTAATTAATAATGAATTTTGATTAGCATAATAAAATTTTAAGATATTGAAGTTTGTGCTTTATGGTTGCATGAAGATTGCAGTTTAGAGATCATTCCGGAAATATAAATTGATCAACCTTGGAAACTTATAGTACTGGTTATCGTGTAACATGATCTTATCGTGATCATGATCGTGACATGCTTAAAAGTCTAACGCTAATGGTAATATTCATACATGATTAGCATTATAAAGTTTGGTTTTTGCTTAAGAGAACCGTAGGGCGAAGATTCAAGCTTGGACGGATCCAAACGATACACTAGTCAGATAAGCCAAGCAAGAGTGAAGGCACGTAGAAACCTAGATCAGTAACGGGTTTTGGTAATGCCGCAATGCAAAGGATCTAAGTTAGACAAAGGTCTTTCTCATTGAAATTTGAATAATCAAGGTGCCAAGTGGCAGTTCTTATTTGTAGAATGGAAATAGGTATAATATGAAAGGAAGTGAAAGAACATTGTTTTAGCATAATATAAGTAAAAAAAAAAAAAAAAAGCAAAGGAAACATAAAATCCTTCCTGTGACTGAATAACCGTTTTTATCATTCCATAGCAAAATTTGTAACAAAGTTGGAAATAAGAATGAAGGGAACATTAGCATTAATCAAGTAAGGCACAAAGCAAGAGAAAAAAAGATACCTGAAATCATGAAACGGTATTGGAATTGATGTGTATTTGGTTAGTACAACCAGTTACCGGTAATAGAAAAAGAATATTAGATGTTGTTAAATATTTGAATAAGGGGTCAAGTCTAGTATTCAAATAATATAAATGCTGAACACTTGTTAGATTTAGAGTAGACGGTACAATTTTTTTTATTTTTTATTTTATTTTATTTTATTAATTTTATAATATCAAATATCTAAGGTTAGAAAAAATGATGTGAATCATAATCTAGCAATCATTTCACAATACAGTATGTATAACATAATAGTGTTTTAAATGGTGAACTAAGTTAGTAGAATAAATTGTACAGAATAAGATTGACATTAAAAGCTGTTTACTAAAAATAAAAAGCCACATACTAACAAATAGAAATTTGTAGACCGATCATCAGAGTTTAGAAGGAACCTTAATGATAAAATGTTGGAGCATACTAAAAAGGCAGAAGACAACTTAGTTGATTAAGTTCAAGTGAATGTAAATAGAGTGTATATAGATATAGTATGTTTAGGTTTTAATTATAACAGGTTCATACATTACTCATCATTTTTCTATATAGAATGAATTAGCTGTCTGTTATTGATATTATCTTGAAATAACACATATTAGATATAATAATAGGCATACGTACATATCAGATATATACTGTACCAGATACATATGTACGTACGTATTTGCCGATAATCAAGATAACGTGCAGGTGCTTCTTAATTACAGTTTTATGGTATATAAATAGTCTATAATATTTCGCACATTTTGACTTTTGCTTTTCTTTCTCACTATAAGTATCAATGTCTAAGATTAAAAATTTCTATTTGATAGTATCTTTTTAGAAACGCATAGCGAATTAGAAACTTTAAATTAAGAACTAAATGAACTTTATGAAGTTTATCAAATGAATAATTTAAAGGATGATAGTGATAGTAACGGTGATAGTGACGATAACAATAATTATAATATAGGTAATAGGAGCAAAAATATATCATCTGAAGGTTAGGAAGATGATGTAAATAATAATATAATATTTGAAGAAGGCCATGAAAATAATGTAAATGACATTTTTACTTTAAGACAAATTGATGAATTCAAAAAAATTTATACCCTCAAACCAATACAAGCATCTATTAAAAAAGAAAAAAAATCTTCAAGAAGATTAGAAAAACAAGATGATAAGGCATATTTAAAAAAATTAAAAAATCTATGTTGTCAAAAACATTGTATTACAATCATTAATGTACAAGAAGCTCTTAACTATTATCGCGAAGTAAAAGCATTATCTCAATCAGAAAGTAATTTTTGTTTTTTGGAAATGCTAGATGCTAGTGCTAGATTTGGAATGTTAAATAATGGAGTATCAAAAACATATTTAACAACCAATTACAATTTTAGTGGAATATCAGTTTGTCAAACCGCTTGGCTAACCATATATGGTATTGGACGAACTAGATGAGAATTATTACATGCACATTATCAACAGCTTGGACTAGCTCCAAAAATCCATAAATTAAGTAGTTGTATTAGTAATTCTGCAATTTCATTTACTACAGTATTACACGTATTAAAATTTATTAGGAATTATGCAAATCAACATGGTCTGCTGTCTCCGGGTAAATAAGATAATTTTGTTATTTATAGTAATGTTATAAATCGAACTAAAAAATGCAATTGATTAGTTGGCCAAAAAAAGTTTTTAAAAATCAATTATCAATTAATCGATAAGTCATTAATTGACTAATCGATTAGTTGGTATATCGATATATTGCATACATAGCTTACCAATTGCAAAGTTAAAGTATGATACTATATAAAAACAAGTTGATTAGTTATCTAATAACTATTCAATTAATTGATTTTGATTTAAAGTGCTAATTTATAGTTTATTAATTAATTATTTAAATTAATTATTAGGGCGAAGCTTTCGGGACAATACTAAGGAAGTAATTTATTTGCCTGCATGTGAAAGTAAATGTTCATTATTTAGACTTTATGATAACATCGAAAATAATGAAGATAATAAGATTAGTCTTTCAAGTTTTTTCCAAATTTGAAAATCATATTTTCCCGGAATCAAGTTTTTAACTATGTGTAGTGATTTATATATACTATACAAGAATATGTGGTTTGGAGCAAAATACTGGCACAAAGATGAAGTTGAATGAAAAATTCTAGAATGGAATGATCATTATAGCTGGGCGCAACTAGAATAAGAATATTACCAGTTTTATATTTTATATAATTTATCATTATCATTATGTAATATTAAGCAATTTGTTATTTAAAACTTAATTTTTTAATTTATAATTTTTAGGGAATATATTATAAAATCAAAGTTGGCTTTAAAAAGTTTAACTTGTTTTCCTCGTACCAAATTCACTTAATATTGAAACTCATATTTCATGGAATTTTGCTAAGAGAGTTCAAATTCCCTACTCTTCACAGTAAGAAGGCACGATATATTTCAAATCTCTTTTTAAAGTAGAGGTATTTGGTATATGTGAGGAAGGAACACCCCAACAAGTAATTATATTAAAAATCGATCACAAAATTTTAATACACAGAATCCTGATAGTCTATAATTTTATGATTATGATACATACTAAATTGAGAGTCAGCCAGGGTGGCTCCCCAAAGTGCAGTTATACAAGCCTATATTATATTGATATTGATATCAATAACTTTGTTGATTGTAATTTTATATTATATAGGCTTGTGTAACTGCTCTTTGGGGGACTGCCCTGGCCAACTGCTGAATTGAGACGATGAAAGAAAGAGGGTTGCAAGTTGGAATAGCACCTGATAATGCTTTTTACTAATTTTTTACTATCATAGTGTGCTGATTTAAATACTTCTTTTTTAATATTTTTTGTGCAAAATACCCTGATACAAAGTATGAAATCTTTGTTATTTAAATATGATTTTTTTAAAAAAAAATTTCTAGACTGCTTATTATAAGTGCGGAATACGTATACAGTTAAAATTTTTCTTTTTTTGTAATACAGACCCACTGCTACATCACATATCTGATATCTAAGCCTTTTTTTTGGTGGGTATTTTATATTAGACACTGGATATTTTAGTCAGCGCACTATAATAGTTTAGAGTTATTATCGTATTTTATAATATACAATAATAGTATACTACTATCTAAAGTCCTTTTTTTCTACTAATGAATTTACTAGTTCATACTATTCATCATTCTGCACTATTACATGATTTACCCTTTACAAAACAATGACTTGGGTCAACAGATAACCTGTTTAACCCAGGTGGGTAATTCAAAAATCATGCAAATAGTGATTCAACCCGTTTCAAAAAGTACAACCTGGGTTGAATGACAGATATACCGAGGTACAAAGACTGCCTGTTGTACCTGGGTTGACATGTGTCTCTCAGAAAACAAGGATAGATAAGTGGAAATATGGATATTGACGATTGCATTAAAAATTTTCTATATAATATAAGAATTAATCGAGTGGATTCCTTTTAATAAATTAGATAATATTCAAAAGGTTTATGATAGACTCTTAGCAATTTGGCTAGATGGAATACGATCAATTTCATATATAAGTGAGAATGTGAATATATACAGTCACATATATCATCATACTGTATAAAGTAGAACTTAAAATATTACTTGGCTATAAAATTTATTAGATCTTTTAAATGGAGTAAGTTAAATTTTAATATCTATTGCATATGATTTGATTTTATTTTATTTAAGAAAATATATATATTTTATTTATTACAAGCTTAAAGACCTTATGCAACCAAGGGTTAGTAGTCTTAAGGTATATGGGCTAACTCAAGACATGCAGAAAATAGGTATATGGTGGTATTTGATGAATTAGGTTTTAAAAGGGATAAGTATAATAGAAATGTACAAATTGCAATTGGTATAATACATCGTCATCTTGGTGTCAAACATGTAACCCTCAAAAAGCAACACAAGTAGAAAGAACATTGATAATTGCATTAAGGAATTTCAACTTAAAACCACATCTTATAAAAATATAGTTGAGTAGACTATGCAGTAATTTAAAAAAAAAAAATTATCTCAAATTTCCGATATCCTTGCTCGTATTTTATGTTTGCAGACTGTCTACTATTTTTAATCTACGGATCACCCGTGGATTAGTTTACAGGTCAGTTTACGGGTAATTCGTAGGTTGACCCGCGAGTTGACCTACCCATCTTCACCCTGACAATATCTCAACCTGGGTTACCCACCCACCTACGGATGACCTGGGTGACACTCACCTGGGTCAAAACACTAGTAGATAGTAATATGAAAATACAGTATTCATAAATTCGTAATGCTGTATTTACTCTAAACTTTGAATTATCAGGTTCTTGATTTGTGAAACTTTAAGATCTTGAACTATCAGAATTTTGTTATGTCATAGATGTTAGAATTATGAACTATCGAAATTAATATTTATCGCTATTGTTATATTTGTAGATTAATTATCTAATTCCGGAAAGTAAAAGTGTGGGAAAAGGAGCCGATGTAGTAATCTCTCTGATTCATAATTATTTTATCAACCATGGTCTTGGAGAAAAGTACATCACAATACATGCCGATAATTGCGTTGGCCAGAACAAAAATAATGCCATGATTCAGTATTTTATATGGCAAGTGATAAATAGATTACACAAAAGAATTACCTATTGCTTTATGGTTGCGGGGCACACCAAATTTAATCCTGATAGATTCTTTGGTCTCTTCAAATTAAAGCTTCAGAAATCTGAGGTGGATGATTTAAATGATTTAGTACAAGTGGTTCAACAATCTACTATAGATGGATATAATTAGGCCGAAACTGTTTATGATATAAATGGAAATAGAAAAGTTACTTTTTATAAGTGGACCAAATTCCTAAATCAACTTTTTACAACAATACCATCGATTCTCAAACAACATCAGTTTATAATCTCTAATGAGAATGCTGGAAAAGTGAAGATCCGAACATCTTGTAATGGTGCATCAAAAGAAATCAATATTATGCGAATGGATTCAATTTCTAATATTAAAAATTCATTTCCAGAGATAATACCAGCATGTGAAATTAGTTTAGAGCGACAATGGTACTTATATGAAGAGATACGGTCACATATTCAGGACCCATCAAAATGTGATATATATTGTTCAAAACCAACTCAACCAAAGCCAAAGAAAGCAAAAAATTCCTAAAACCAACCACTAATTTGTTAAAAAAAAGTAATTAGATCTTTTTTATTATTTTAGTATACATTACGAAATTTTTAAATAGAGTGCATAACGATTATCATCGGCAGGGTAATTGGCATCGATGAATATCAATTAAAATCGATATTCATCGATGCCAATTACCCTGCCGATGATAATCGTTATGTACCCTATTTAAAAATTTCATGATGTAGATTTTAGATATTTTACTGATTAGTTTTTGATTTTAATAGCAGGGTCGCATAACTTAAACCGAACATAAAATCCAAACAATTCAAGTGTAGTCAAGTAGAAATAATGAGATTAATGATTGTATGATACTTTCAACTTAGAACAATTAAATAAGTGAAGGATTCTATTTCGTATTTGGTCAAGGAGGATTTGGCACAGCACTTTCTACAACCTGATTAGATGGTATACGGAAGATTGAACTATCTAGCACATCAATCGGCTGTTTTATTTAACCTGAGTCGATAGAAATCATTTTTTTTTATTTTATTTCAAATATTAAAATACAAAATCAAGATTTTTAGTGATATAAAATATACAAAAAGTTCTATCGAATAAATGCTTTTTATACCAATTTTTGTAATTAGCTTATCGTTCATTTTTCAAATTTGACTGATTCTACGATTTCATTTATCGTAATTGATTTATTTCATTTTATTACTTTTATAATCGGTAATTCTGTAATTTATATATCTAAATCGGGTTTAGGGCGTGCTAATTATATATGATCCCTTTTAATTGATAAAAGGAAGAGTAAAGGTGTAATATACATTATACGTTTACTATAACGATTTCATTCTGTCTTTAATAACAAACTATCATTAACCCCAAATCTGACGTATCCTACATATGCGCTACTCTCTCAATCTAGGCTGTAACAAGGTTCTCTGACCTCATAATAGATAATGTAGTATGATTATTACGTTGCTATCGAGTGCACTACTTAATTCTACTGCAGCATTTTTGCCAATGTCTTCACCAAAGCCTGCAGATACTCTTAATGGAAAAAGAGCCATCAAGAAGCATAGAAAAAATAGTAAGGAAAAGAAAAATGAACTCTTCATATTCCTGGAGATAGACAAAAAAAATTCCGCAAGGTGGTGAACGCGAATATATTATTTCTGTTTTTTTGTACAGAGATCAATAAAATAATTTCAGAGAAATGGATAAATTGCAGTTTTGTTACGCCCTGGTATACCGAAATACGTAGTTGTTATGTATCAAGAGTATTTTGTATTGTTCATTATGCACATATTTGTAATGCAGATCGGTGGCCAAAATTAAAAAAGTTCGGTTAAATATCTTTTATGATGATACTACATATTTTAGAATTAATTCAGAAGTTTAATGAGCATGTAAAATGGCGAATCGCATTTAATTTGATAAATGGGTTGTTTTATTTATTTTCATCTGGTTAACCAATTAACGAAGTTTCTACCCGGATAATTTAAAGTAAATTGGTAGTTCGCTAAGTTATACTATAGAGTTTGTAGATGCGTTTTACTTATAACTATAAAATAAGTATAATACATATTGTATTAACTAATACGTAACAATTGTAACAATAGAATAAAAAGAAAAAAGCGCTTTACTATTCATCGTTATATAAATAATTATAATAAAATTTGCAACAAATCAAAAAAAATTTACTCTTAGGTATTTCAAGTTAAATATTAACTGAATTAATTTTTGACTCTGATAAGATTGATGTAATACAATAAAAACGCTAGTTATTTAATAAAATCATGCGAAATTGATCTAATTCATAAATTCGGGTTTGAATATTATAAACCAGAAATTCGTTTACGGCCATTATAAATAATTTCGTTTTATGATCAAGCAAAGCGTGAAATTTTCTGGCTGATACAATTTTATTTTGTGGATCATAAATAACACCATAAAGTAAAATATTTTCATTGATGCACACGTATGCCGCCCAAACGTACTGTTTAGAGTCAAGGGTGCATTCATCTAAATCTAATGTTGCGAGCGATTGCGATGGACTGTGAAAACACAACCGTATTCTTTTCTTAACTGAATTCTCATGTGCCTTAAGGTACTTGTAAAGTCTCCGAGTAGTCGGCCCGGTAACAGTAGTGGTAAAGATGGGCATTTTTTCAGTATTTGCAAGTTTTGTTGTGGAACGTGTGATAGGACTTCTGCTTTACGAATGCTAACACGAGTTGTTATTTTCATGATTAATAGAAGGATTATTTATTGTATTTTTAATTATGCTTGTATATATTGGCTGAATTATATGAATTTTAAGTTAGCAAAATCTGGTCTGTATAACACTTTTATACTTTTTTTTTATGCAGTATTCACAAAATATATAATTAAAAATTCTAATTACTGTACCACTTTAAAGCACAAAGAATTCACGAAAATAGTATAGAATGAAAATTTTTACGCGTCATTACAAAATCTGTATAATACGACAGAATGGTTAAAATAAATTTTTTATCCGTGCGCAGTTTGTATTAATATCATACAGTATTCAAATAAGTCTCGGTCTTTGCCCCATATTGATAAGCATGAACAAAGTAAATTTTCTTACGCGCGTTAACATAATTTTTATTAGTAATAAATTACTTATAAAAGACAATGTCTAGTTGCCTCTAGTCTATTAAATATAATAACAATGATATAGGCAGTCTATAGTAATATTGGAGGTCTATAATAATATCGACAGTCTATAATAATATAGGCAGTCATAATAATATCGGCAGTTCTATAATAATATCGGCATACAAATATAATTTAGGCACATAGCATTCCGCACATTCGAATTTTCAACACTGAACATAATGTAAGTTACAAATATAGCATTAATGCTGGCCAAAATTACAATAAAGCTGGCCAGCACTAAACAGAAAATTTTTTTATCAAGCACCACCGGGATCAGTAATTGTACCAGTATCAGATATGTTAATACCTGAATTAACATATATATTGTTATGCTATTTTTTTTTGTTTGAACTCAACCCCTGAATTGCCACAGGTCAAACTACGAGCAAAGATTTTCATAAATGTCATGCTTGAACTATCTTGGTCAGTCAATAAACTTACCAGTTTTAGTAAAATAAAATATCTTTACGCGTGTTTATTAAATTTGGTGTTGCATAAACTTAGATATTGCACAAACTTCAAAAGAGGGATTTTAATGGATGAACTGCCATGTGTTCAGTCAATAGACTTGCTAGTTTTGATGAAATTACATGTGCTAGTTTTGACGAAATTACATGCGTGATAAACTTTCAGGCATGTTTTAGTAAAAATATTACTATTATAAAGCGTCTAATCACAAACATATCTGATACTGATATGGATTTATATATATCATGTGCATTGTAAACTTTTACTTCGTTAATAAGGGGAGAAAATCATATATGACCATGTAAGGAGTCAGTCAATAGACTTGATACTTTGTCAGAATCGCGTATTTCAGTAAAAATATCAATCTTCTTTAAATCTAGTTTTAAAATAATTCATTTAGGCTAAAATAACTCACGTGTGTGTAATAGACTATCTTGAAAACGTCGCATAAAGTTTTACTTCGTCAAAGATAATTACACAAATTCAAAAAGATGATTTAATATAAGAGCTGCATCAAGGGTCAGTCAATAGATTTGCAAGATAAACTTTTCTTTGTGTTTAATCATGCTGAGAAATCTACTACCAAAACTAATAAACAAACTTCTTAATTCACTAATGTCGCGTGTTATTGCATAACAAAGTTTTGATGGAATCTTATGTAAAATAAACTTTTCAGGCTTTAGAATTGCATGTTTCAATAAAAATACCATCATTATAAAGTCTAATTACAATGCGCGATGCTCAAAAAAAAGATCAAAAATTCGAAAGGGACATGGAAATTAACTAAGAGATTATCGATATCAAATGAATTTTGTAATATAAAGCGAGTTTTAAATTTTTAAATTATTATTGTAATCATGACAGTATAAATTACAAAGTCTATTTAAGCTTAATAATGTAAACAAGTTTAGTGATATAAACCGTAAATTATAAATAATATAAACAATCCGTGGGTTACTTTAAATCTATCGGTTAAAAATAACCCGTAGATTATTTATATTATCTGTTCAATTTACAGTTCGCATCGCTAAAACAAGTTTGATATTTTTTTTATGTAGCATATTCTAAAAATTTTGGTTTACAATTTACTGTATATAGTGTAAAATTTATGTTGCGTAAATAAAATATACGTGCATAATTAGACTTAGTTGTGTATCTAAATCCGGTTCTTATTATAATTCCAAAAGTACGTATAAAAATTAGATTCTCACGTAATGGTTCACCAGGAGGTCCAAATATCATTTTAACGAGAGAATATATCATATCCAATTTATCCGATATATATCTCAAATTGTTTGTTATTGTGTCAAGATTTTCGCGAGTATCAAGTTCTTGTCTTGCACTATTAATGTAAATTTCTTCCTTATTTATTTCAATTTTATAACTGAGGTTTGCGCCAAAATAAAATAGCACATGGTTTAGTCTTAAA